GAGCTCTTCTCAAAAGGGCCGTAGCTAAAAGGGGTCTGCATCGTTAGAATTGTGTCGATACTGCTGCTTCTGTGTGGTTGTTTGTTGATGCTGTGCATGGTTTCTTATTGGAGGATACCACATTAGGCAAGTTTTTGATGCCAAGAAGCATATCTATATGAATGGCAGTATTGAGACTACCTCTCATTAGAGTGGAATGTTGCTTGGCATGTCAGCCAGTGTTCCTAAGGTGAAAATCCAATTCATGTCTCCAATGGACTGGTTGCATTTGCCACACTTGTATGGGCATGAAAGTCCCCTGGGAAATGCAGTGACTGCATTCGGATAGGTGGAAATCTGCTTTATTGGGATAAAGTCAAAAGTACAAGTGTGTACATAACTTCTCATCAACATCTCATGCCTCTCCACATACTGCATGAAAAATGTAATGTGTACTTACAGGGCAGAGTTTAAATGTATGACACTGAAGTTCCTTAAACGTAATTCAATGCCTCAGTGTGCTAAAAGCCTCAGGTGCCACCTTTAAACTACTTTGTGTGTACTCTAAACTAGCATCCATTAGTTAGACCTAAAGTGGATGTCATTGATTTTCAAAGAAACAGTTCACGGAAGACCGGAAGATAGTTTTGTACCTTTTGCTCTTGTGTGAAATCCTTTTCTTCTGTTTTTTAAAAGCTATAATTTTGCTCTCACCAAAAAAAAGCTAAAAGTTGAAGAGAACCAAAATGCATCACTAAAAGCCAGGTTAAAAAGAACTCGCTCCTTGGTTAGATGTTTCTGGGGCAGGAGCGAGAAGGTAACAAGAAAAATGTTCTAAAAGTCGTGTGTCCAGATATCAAGACAACATCCTTTTTATTGCTAGTCCGGATCAGACCTAGATTCATTAGACCTTGTCAGATTTAACCAGACTAAATGACAACACATTCAGGTCATTTGCTGAGGTCGAAGTTACAAATTACAATTACTCGCGTTACTGCAGTTAAATTGTTATTTTGGTCATTTTACTCTTGAGTATGCATTACACTATGTAATCCACTCTGCTGCTTTTTAAAATAATATATAATTTGCTACTTAGTAGGCCAACAATTTTGAATTGTATCTAAACCTTTTATCTGCGCCTTTTTGTAGCCAATTGCCAGGGACCCACAATGCAAAAGCACCCTGAAGCACTGCCCGCTTCCTTTTGGCACCTGTGTTAATCATCAGACAGAGCTGCCACAATAGTTTCAGTCCTTTTGTTTTTCTGCACGTGGCAAGCGACTCTGGCAAAACACTGCGATGTAATGTAAATCATAAAAACAAACAAATGCTGCAGCTGTACAGGTTTAGAGAGGTGACCACACTGACCAGAACAGCGCAGGAGTTGGCAGTAATTTGGGGACTGAAGATTTGGAGAAACAGAAACCAAATAGAGACTGATTATGCCTTGAACAGATAAAATTCCTGCTTTAATTGTGTATTTATTTGGAAAATAAATTCAATTACTTGGATCCATTCATATGTTTTTATCTATTTGCGCAATACAGAAAACGGTAATTACAGTGTAAGTAGGTACCTTCACGTGGATCTCAATTCTATTCAATACCTGCTAACATCAACAGTTAAAGTAACTGAATACTTTATACTTTTATTTAAAGGTCCAGTGTGTAGGATTCAGTGGCATGGACAGTTATTCCATTCTGGGCTACTCTAGAAACAACCCAGCAGCCCACGGTGTCTGTAGATTAAAAACAGCTCAAACATTTTATTAAACAGCATTACTATTTCCACCACTGGTCACACTTTATTGCTCAGTATCCGTGCACCCTGTGATCAACATGTCTTTTTGTCACGACTCTGCAGCAGCGTGGAGTGACTCCTCCCAGGTGAGCAGCCCAGACCGGGAGGGGACCTTTACAATTATGGACTCGGGCCATGGGGATTCCCTGTCAGTCTCCACCTTGGAAGTCCCTCTCACTCCCCACGGCCACCATCACGCCACCTTGCTTCCCATGCAACTCTACCCGCTCTCCCAGCCGCTGCGAGTGGCCTTCACCGCCTCCCGCACCGCCAACTTCGCCCCGGGTAACCTGGACCAGCCCATAGTTTTCGACCAGCTGCACAGCAACCTGGGGGAGATGTACGACACCCACATCGGCCGCTTCACCTGCCCCGTAAGCGGAACCTACGTCTTCATCTTCCACATCCTGAAGCTTGCCATCAACGTGCCCCTCTACATTAACCTCATGCGCAACGAGGAGGTGATGGTGTCGGCGTATGCCAACGACGGAGCCCCGGATCACGAAACGGCCAGCAACCACGCCATCCTGCCTCTCTTCCAAGGAGACCAGGTGTGGCTCCGGTTGCATCGTGGTGCCATCTACGGCAGCACCTGGAAGTACAGCACCTTCTCTGGCTTCCTGCTTTATCAGGATTGACCTACTGTCGAACGAACGGCCCTCCTCTCTCTCAGCGTGTGGACTGTTTGCTTTTCACTAAATGGTGATTAAACTGACATTTCAGTTTTGTGGTCAGGCTGCATGCCAGTGCCTTTTTTTTTTTTTTTTTTGTTCACCAGAAAGCCCATTCATAACAACTGTCAGTGGCCAGATGGTACATGTATGATCTGCACTCACAGCCTGCCTTTGGGAATGGCGATTGTGACTGCTTGACATAAACCAAATGTACTTGATTCCCCATGAGTGTGTAGTTGACGGTGGTGCTCCCTGTGACTGATACTAGTACAAGTGGGCTGATAACATGTCATCTTGCTGTAAATCATCCTGTAGCACTTCACCTGTTCAGCCCACAGGTCACTGATTTCAGTGAGAACTCTAATGCAATGTTATGAATTTGTGCCTTTTTTTTTTTGTTTTCTGAATGGCTTTGGATGACTGACCAGATGTTAAACTGCTGAACTGAATGGCTGATTTATTGGATGAATTATAATTGACTCTATCAGCACATTGCTTGATGCTGGGCTCCTATGCATTCAGTCTCACCTTGCTGTGTGTATGTGTGAATGTGAAGCTGAGGAAGGAAAGATTGTGTTTTTGGTGGTGGGTATGGTGTTGAACACTTGAGGCCAAATTGTTGCACTAACAGACTACTATGGGGAGATGGAAGTGGTCCCTTGATGTGCCTAAATAAAAGATGAGCCGTTAAACTTGTGTTCATCTCGATTTTTGCCACGCTTTTGCATTTACAGGTCTAATTTAAAGAAGACCTCCATCTGTATCTCTGTTGCATCAATGTGTCTACAGCACTGTATTTACCTTTAATTTTCCAGACACTGGGACTGTAGGCCTTTCACCTGTCCATCTTGGGTAGAAAGTCTATCTTAAATTGCAATAATCGCTCCAATAATCCACTCCACCAATTTTCAAAGCTCAAGATAATCTGGGGTTTAGCAGATTCTGGCCTATATCCTAAACTGCACATTGCAGAACATATTTTGATATTAGATACTAGCTCTGTATACTCCTAGTGCAGAATTATGTACTGGGACCAGACATCCCAGTTTATTGTACAGTTTCAAGCTGGGTGTCCCTAGTCCCAGTAAATATCTGTCAAATGCCAAAATGTATTGCTACCAAATTGTCCTGGTTTTCACCACAATGTAAAATTAGTGATTAATGAAATCTCTCGAATTGCCGACAGGATCAGTTAAGACTAATGTTCTGTGTGTTAACGCATTCAAAGAATGACACACAGGTTCATAGGCCTACAGAAACAGTTCGGAGTGAAACTGTCGTCTTCTTGATGAGTCTTGAACTTCATCAGCGTTTCCTGTCTACTTTTGCTGCTTAAGATCAATATTTGCTGCACTGACTTTATGGCAAGCATGTTTTAAAATGACTGACAGTGCAGGTTTCTAAACCAGAAAAAACTTACTTGAGTGGTTGGTGAGAGGATGATTTGTGTACATGCAGATCATCAGTCATATAGAAAAACAAATTTAAGAAGTGATTACTAATTTAAAAACAGGACGTGTGCATGCCGGTGAAATCAGTACTATGTGTGAGGTTTTACCACTGAGTGTATGGGTGCAAAATCATTGTCTGACTAAATGACATAACATATGCAGAGGGAGTGAATGACTGCAGAGCCCAGCTGCACCGAATTAGTCACCTACAGGGGAGAGATCAGCACAGACACTCCCAGGTGACATCCCAGGGGCCAACACAATATGCAGAGCTGTTTTTAATATTTTGACCCCCTAATGCATGTAAATATAGAGAACACCTCGTAATATAATTATAGTGCAGTGCAACACCACATTTAAACTATTAGCTTAGTAATAAGGTAGCTTTTATGGCAAACCTGTTGTACTGAATTGCATTAAAGTTCCACATCGGAGTGTGACTGACAATTGTTCTTTCGGCAACTGAATCAGGGGGACCATTAAACGCCTTGGTGGCACCCCTGCCTTTGAAGTGGATTTGTGATATTGGGCTATATAAATAAAACTGATTTAAAATAAAAATAGATGGAATTAACTAAAAATAATCCGCAATGAACTCTGTCACTGTGAAAATAAGCAGGATGAAATAACACGTCATGAGTTTTGAGAATATATTACATTTTCATGGCTATATATCTTTCTGTGTCCATATGAATAAGGTAAGGTAAGATTTATTTATATTCTTTATTGATCCCACACTGGGGAAATTCACTGGCTCCAGCGGCTCCAGATACAACAGAACACAATAGATAAGAAAATACATAAAAATAGAATAGAAAAATACAAGCTATAATAGAAATAGAATAAAAGTTATATGTCCACTTCACTGAAAAAAATAACTCATTGGATGATTTCCATCCATTAAATTTATGTAGCCCCAACTCGATCTAAGTACCTCCTTGTAATATGATTTAATTGAGTTGGTCAAACTCATCTTTATCAAATACAGCCAAAATAAAATAAGTACATTAACTGGCCTAAACTGATTTACCTTTGTACAACTTAAACTAATATAGCTTGTCTAAAATAATATTATTCAGAGACACATAACACAAAATCTGGTTAATATGTTTTTATTTAAAACAAATAAAACCTCATACAAATATCTATATATCTGTATATCTATATATAGAGAGAGATATAGATATAAAACATCAACATGGAACTCATCAACATATTGATGACAGTCACTGACTTGTGTCAAAACACACAGAAAAACTGCCTCAGAGCCTAGCTACACGTTTCAGGCCGAAAAGCTAAGGCATGTTTTGACCAGTTCAGACCAACCCTGAACATTTTTTTTACCATTAACTGCACTATGTAGTGCCTAAATACTGGAATGAAATATACATATACCACATTTAACACACATCTACAGTACAAAACATGGAAATTCTTTCACCAATCTCAAACTAAACTGTTCAAAATGCACTTTGACCTTGACTGAGAGCTTAGCTTTTTAAGCTTCTCTTTAAGTTTTTTATCTATGATGAACACAGTGTATGACCTATCATATTTAGAAAAGAAAAGAAATGAATCCGCTGACTTCAAAACTGCTTCAACCAAAGTAACTAGTATTAGTGCTAGTACAATAATAATACAAGTACAATATCTGAAAAGGCTAAGGCATGGTATAACCAGCTCACATTAAACATATAAACTTTGGTTTCACTATACTATACACATGGTAGAAGTACAAAACAGAACCTGAAACGTGAGAGAAAAAAAAAGGAATTTCTTTGAGTCCAGTCACAGCCTATCCATAGGAACACACTTCAAGATGTGCTACACAAGTAGTTAACAAGAAAAACATCCATGCTGACTGTCACTGAATGTGTGGACACAGTGTTTGCGCCTTATTTTCAGCTGCTGTATCTTTGCATTCAGCTTGTGTCCATCCAAGTTCATAATGATCTTCTGGAAAAACTCGAAGGTGTACTTGAGGTTTTGGGGAAAGGCTAGATCAAGGGCATAAATGAGCCCAAACAGCATGATGAACCCCATGATGACGCTGCCAACATTGTTGAGGACTTTAATGCCCTCAATCACAACTCCCACGTCCTCTGGCTCTTCATGTCCATCTCTTCGGATTGTGTAAATCCCCATGACTGTGGTGTGATGTCCCTCTCTGCATCCTCAGCTGCAGAGGACTGAACAACAACACAGAAAACAAATATAAGTAAAACGCTAAACAACACACAGAAAATCATATACAACATATAAATGCACAGTTACTACATACAGCAGTTTAAAGCAACAGTTCATCAGTTGCCTCTGTCAAAAAAACAGGTGCTAATTCGGGATGTAGCCTTCAACGTTTGATAAGATATAGGCCAGGGTTAGGAATGGTGGTGTGTCAGGCTTTTACAGAATCTTCTGATGCACACATCAGTGTTGTTTCCTGAAGTCACTGGCTGTTTCATAGTATTTCTCATAAATGACGCATGGAATTAGATTAGTCTCAGTATTATAGAGTAACTAACCCCTGCGGTCAGAGCCTAACTTCACCTGCTGCATCATTTTGAAAAATGCTTAGAAAGTGGGCAGACACTGACAGAACAAGGAGAGAGGAGGAGGTGAGACAGGGTGGAGCGTATTTCATAGACTGCTCCTCAGATTCTGGAGAACATGGATGACAGTGGACTGAGCCCGATCAGCTTCAGCTCCATCACTGCCTGAAACTGGAGCTGTCAGAGCCAAGGCTATAGCAGTGCAAGAGAGCTGTAGCAACATAATGTCAGCAGCTTCATGGCCAACATTTTTCAGTTTTAAAACTATGCAATTTCAATGATCCTTTTAGAATCTACCACAGAAAATATTCAGCAAAACTCAGGAGTGAGAAACCAAATCCATCCCCACTTATAAAGGTATGTGTGTCTGCGTGTACTGTGTGTATCTTTGTATGATCATTTCCAGTGTGTACAGTGACTACTACGTGTCACTAGGTTGCAGTAATGTCCTGACGAGTAAAATGGAGGTGCCAGAAGACAGGAAATTCAGGAAAAGTGGAAAAAAGATGAATTAGAGTATTTTTTATGTTGCAGGTTTACAATTATACTACATGAGAGAATTTTAATAAACTTACCAAATATTCCTTGAAAAACACATCTGGGTCTTCACTGACATAGACAACAAGGCTTCTCAGGATGCACTCCCTCCTTATGTTGATGTCATGGCACTAAAACATGGGTGAGAAATAAAGACATCTGGTTATGATGGTGGTGCAGGGATTAGAGCAGTCTGAAGATCAGTAGGTTTTTGGGCTATCTGTTGTATATGTGAAAAAAATAATCATATAATCAAACTGTAAAAGAAAGCAATAAAATGTATTAATAACAGACATTTACACACCTCGTCTTCCTGACAGCATTAGAGGATGTTTGTGCCACAGCTTCTCTTTTTGTATTGGTAAAAAAAAAAGCTTGCTTGTATATTCATGACTGACTGACTGTTATTGGTCTTATACAGTCTTTGGTGTTGTAACCATAGACTGTATATATCACATAAATGACCCACACTGCATTCAAAACGGCAATTTGCGACAAGTTTTGCAGCGAGTAATTGGTCTTATACAAGCCACAAACAGGTTTAACGTGTGAGAGAGAGACCCTGACTGAGGAGGGGAAGGGGGGGGAGAGGTGAGGGGGGGTCTGCTTAAACAGACTCATTATTTGTTAGAGCTCATAATTCATGTTCATGTAGACTTTTTAAGTAAAAGTTGTGTGGTTATAACCCGAGTCAGAGTAACCACAGACACTTAGTATAACTTAATTCTCCCTCATGTATCTTAGCTAGCTAGCCCGCTAGCCCATGTCCGACTTCACTGACGGTAAAATTCGTCGGTCTTTTCACAGCATGCTTTTTAAAATATAACAAAATGGAGTACTCACCAAGGAGTGGAATTACAGCAGCTTTCCGTGGCTCTGTAGAGTAAAACCCCGCAGCAGCGTTGGCAGAAGTTGTCAGTGAAAAAGGAGCGGGAGGAACGGAGGCTGAGAGCGCGCTGCTTCGCACATGCGCAATGGGCGGTCCCAATTCAAATGAAACTCATTTGTTTTGAGTTCATGAATGTCAAGGTGAAACTATTACGTTACCACAATTCAATTTACATCGGTTTAGTGTTTAATAGATTTGTTTCAGCAAATCAAACAACAGTTTAATGTGTCACATCAAAGAAGGCTTGGATCAGTTTTTTGAGTGTATGTACAGCTTTTTATATACAGATGTGACTGATATACACACATATAAACAAAAAACATCTAAAATATAAGTTAAATTAAGTTGTCTTAAAGGGGATTTAATTAGGATATAACGTAGTTGTTCAGAGACCCCCGTACTACGGAAGCCCTAAAGGGCCATGCATTCATACATTTTATTTCCTCCGTTTTTCCGTGATAACGAGTTAATTTTCTCGAGATCTCGAGATAACGAAACTTTGTTTTCCCGAGATAACGATATAATTAATTTGAGATCTCGAGATAATGACTGTGATATGATAACTGCGGTCAAACCAGCCGTTACTCCGATCTCCGTGGTCAAATCAGTCACACTTAAATTTACAGCGTATTCACTCAATTCAAAATAAAGGTATTTAGAACAGTAAGCTATAATTCGAACCTACATTTAAAATAAAATATGTTACATTAAAGTGTTTCATGCGCCCATGAATAAAACACATACTTAATATCAAGCATTTTTACTGCACCAATGTGGAGAAATGCCAAAACAAAAATTCCATATTTGTACCTCCAAGTGGCATCTTTTCTCATATTTGAGGTACTGTAAAAACATATTGCTCAGTAATTCCTGGCTATGGATGGTATATTTGACTTCTACACATATAAGACTACAAGTGTACTTAATATCAAGCATTTCTACTGCACCAATGTGGAGAAATTCAACAATAAAAGTCCATATTTGTACCTGCTTTTACTGTACCCAGAGAGTCTTAAGGCACTTCTCTTCCAGTTTTCTTATGAATTTAATTAAAATCTTCATGTCTTTTATAAATGCCACAAAGCGTGGAGCAACTTTAAAAAAAATCTACACTTATGTAAAATGTACATATAATAAAAATGTTATTACAGAAAAACTCACCATCTTTCTTTTGCATAAAACACTAAACTGAACAGTATGATATTCAGAACCAGGTATTACATTCTTTGTGTATTTGTTGTTTGTTGTTAATATTGGTGGGTACATTACATTTGAAATGTAATCAATTAAAAACAAAGCACTTGTGTCTGTGCTCAGCCAGTGCAGGATGGAACCAACGCTGTGGGTGTCGCAGTAACAGCGCCAGCCCTCAGGGTGGCAGCAAAACTCCCTGCGTGCCACCGTGCGTCGACAAAGAAGAGCAGGAAAAACGTAAATTGCCTGTTTACTGTGCTTTACGTCCACCGACCGTCGGTTGCCGGTAAAACGGGGCAGGGCCAACGCTCTCCGTCAAGCTAGCCAGAGTTTGACACCCGGAAAAGCTGGCCCACCTTCAGAATGAACTAGCAGTCCTCCGGTAACGAGCAGTTTGTTTTGAACGCACTGGCCGGAAGTTGCGTGTGTGTGTAACTCCCGGTGGTTTGACGGTGAATGCAGATCATAACGCTTGGCTGAATATAAAGCAGAAACGTACGCTAACGGTACATGTATGTGATACTAAAAACACAGAAGGAACCGTGGAACTGAACCCATATGGATCCCAACCGGATAATCCAGGCTCTGAAGGGGACCATCGACCCCAACCTGCGGATAGCGGCGGAGAATGAACTCAATCAGGTGGGTGAGCTAGCTAAAGTAGTTTTTTGGTTTTGTTTGTTTTTTCCGGGTGGGAGGCATCATGGAGCGTTTTGGCCCAGACATTACACCGGTGTTCGTGGAGGAAGGCAGGCCGTGTTTTTGTGCTGTAGCTCGGCATCGGCCTGGTGCTTGTCCGGCCCCCGGCTTTGGGACTCTCTGTCCGGCCTGTGATCGGCAGTTTGGCTGAAACTGTTCCCCACACACTGACTCCAGACAGCAGCTGCGTCGAAGAACAATGGGAGTCAGATGTGACAGCCATCATGGACCATCAGGAGCCGGGCTCAACTTTCCCCTGTCAACGCTGGAGTTGACAGGAACCCCTCCAGAGCTCTGCTGTGGCCCTGAATTCCTGGGATCAGCTAATAACATCACAAATGATCAATAGAGGCTTAATAAAAAGATCAGGGCCCCTAAATAATTGATTCATGAAAATGTGAATTGATTATTGCAGAATTTGGTTCATGCATAATGCCTTTTTGTTTTTTTCTTTATAATTCTTTTATGTAAAGAAATAGTTTTATGTTCCAAAATGTCCTTTGGAATGAGTTCACGTTCACCTAACCTATATGATGGTCTAGTTACTACTTACTTACTAGAGCTCTCCACGTAGGTGTGTCTATGACTCTTGAAATTCAGTCACTCTGTTATAGGTCAGACTTTGCCTTTCATTCCAGCTAGTAGATTATTTATACATAGATAAGAGTCTCCTTTGTGTGTGTGTGTGTGTGTGTGTGTTTCAGTCGTACAAGATCATCAACTTCGCCCCGACCCTGCTCCAGATCATCATCTCGGAGCAGGTGGAGTTTCCTGTTCGCCAGGCAGGTAAGACCCCAAAACTATACTGCTCATGTTTTATAGGCTCATCTCACTGCTCATTATGCTCCAATGCGGATCCACAGTCAGTATTTATAAGGATAATACTGACACAGTTTTGGCTGAGGTAATTCTGCCATGTAAGGTTCATATTGAGAAATGTTTACAAAGAAATAGAATTGCTGCTGTTCATAAGGAAAGTGTATCACGCTTACTGTGATGTTTGTTGAGTTTGTGATATTCATACATCATTTGTGTCAAGTGTAAATCCCTGGAGAATTGTTCTTGGGATCAGGTTTTTATTATCGTTTGAATCAAAGAGATGTAGACAAACAGTCATCAACACAGTAGCAACAATAAATGACCCACAAAACATATATAAGGTCACTCTAAGTCACTGTAATAAATCCAAATGAAAACGCGTGCTCACACCTAGTCATATATGTGTAATATACATAAACCTACACACAGCTTACTTACAACCTACCCTTCAGCAAAACATCCAGGAGAATTTATAGGTAGCTCACACTCTGCTTGAAATGCACAACTTATAAAAGTAACTAATACCAAATTACACATTTACAGCAGTTGGACACTTTCTATACTTTCCTGCTTGACGGCGTCATTACAGTCTGTTTAAAATAGATGAGGTGTTTTATGTTACGTGTATATTTTCGTCCCATCACCTCATTAAAAGATAGGTCTAACAAATCCCATGAAAACATCAAAACCATGTAACATTTTTATTTTTTTATTTTTTATTTATGAATTGATTTAAAATTGAACCAGATCATTTACAGACAAGGTGTCGTAGACAAGTTGCTCACTATCGTTTTTTTATGTTATTCAAATAGTAGGAAAGTTGTGCATTTGTTGGGGACTGTTTTCAGCGGCGGATTATTTCAGGTTTAGTGCTCTGGTTAGTATTTATGGCAACAAAATGTATTTGACAGTGGAGCTCTGTGGCACAGGAAGAATATATATCAAGCTCTGAAACATACAATACTTGTTCATTCAGTCTTTAATGAGATTTGTTGACAATAAGAGCAATATAGAAAATCACCAGGCTTATCTATTAAATCCAGTCTTTGACTCATGAGATCAGCTGAATGAATGCAGAGCAAAATTGTGTGTGTGTGTGTGTGTGTGCATTCTTGCCTCACTCCCTGACTGTGTGTGTGTGTGTGTGTGTGTGTGTGTGTGTGTGTGTGTGTGTGTGTGTGTGTGTGTGTAGCTGCCATCTACTTGAAGAACATGGTGAGCCAGTACTGGCAGGACAGGGAGCCGTCTCTTGGCGAGGTTGTGTTTCCCTTCAATATCCATGAGAACGACCGGCAGCAGATCAGAGACCACATCGTGGAGGGCATCATCCGCTGTCCAGAGTCCATACGGTACAGAGACTAAACACACACACGCAAACTGTCATAAAGGACTAATCTGTTCCCATCTGTAATCACTGCAACTCCTCTTTACTGTCCTTGTGTAGACAAAGTATGTGACTTTTTGTAAGCTATACAAAAAGCTTTTTGCTATATATTTCACGTAGAGCACAGTGGGCACCTGATGTTGTAAATAAACTTCTTAACTGACTGATACAATAAATGACTCCATATCTTTTTGCATTATCTGTAGCGCCCAGCTGACCATGTGTCTGCGAGCAATCATCAAGCACGACTTCCCCGGCCGCTGGACCGCCATCGTGGACAAGATCGGCATGTACCTGCAGTCTCAGAACAGCGGCAGCTGGTACGGCAGCCTGCTGGCTCTCTACCAGCTGGTCAAAACATATGAGTAAGTAACCTGTTCGTGTTCCTCCGTTCCACCTCACCGCTCTCAACACCCCTCCTGGGGAGACATTAGCCCTCCCATTACGACTACAGATTACCTCAGTCCCACTGTAAGTCTGCGGTCTAAGGTCATCTTAGCCTTGAGATGCTTTTGGGAAACAGGAACCAGGTCTACAGTAGTTCCTAAAAGATGTTCTATATATCATTAAGATTAGATCACAACATGTGTTGCCAAAATAACTAAAGAAGAAGAATAGTTCAACATTTTGGAAAACATCATTTGCTTTCTTTCTGAGAGTGACATGAGAAGATATCAGTCTCATGATGATAAAACAGCTAGCCAAAGTCCAAAAATACACCTACCAACACCTCTGAAGCTCGTTCACAAACGGAGGGTTTTAGGTGACGTTATGAACATGTAAACGATGATGTCATGTGTTGACTGAAATTTGGAGCTAATGATGTCATTTGGACCCAGAGTCTGCACGGCAGTGATTGGCGTCTGTCCCTTCCCTACACCAATCAATCGCGAGCAGGGCTCAGCTATCACATGATGTGAACTAATTGAAGTCTGACTTATCTGAAAAGACTTGAACACACACCAGCGTGATAAGAATGGCAGAAAGATCTTTTAAATATGAATTCAATATTTATTTGACGTGATTTACTGCAACCAGCCACCAGGGGGCGATCCAGATGTTTTGGCTTCATTTGTGGGTTATGGATTATGTTGTCCATCATTATATGTCAATGGTTAGAACTAATTCTTGGCGAACAACAGCTGGGTGTAGTTACTGCACACAGCTGTCCAGAGTATTGTTGTCTCAGTGAGATTGTCAGGTTTGATACCATCAAAGAGACCAAAACCTGAGCTCACTGACTGTATCTGTCCACCGGTGTTGGACTGCACAGAAGTCCTGGGCGGATGGAGACTCCAGAATAGTTCCAGAACTCTCATTAAAAGCACATATTGTCATCTTTACATTTCTGTTTGTGTGCACATTAAACAAACAAGGTCTAATCCACTGATAAACTACAGAGATTATTTGAATCCTTTCTTAAGGCAGGCTCCTGAAAGGAAGCACTAACTCTTATTTCCTTCCAGTAGCTCTGAGTGTGTGTGTGT